ACTGGTCTCCTCTTGATAATAAGAGATTGTGAAAGGTTTTTCTTTACCAACTTCTAAGTAATCTGCCTAGAAAAAAACAAAGATCTTGTGTCTTATCAAAATAATCACGTATGTTCCATGTTGTCTATATCAAGTCTTTGATTACTTACGTAAACCTAGTCTTCTCCATATTAAAAGAACTAAGTTTTGCTCAGAACTATCTAACCTTCCCTATTTGCCTATGAAGTCCTTAATTGTCAGCATGGTTAAATGGATAACTTAGTATTGTTTCATAGTGAGCTATGATCCTATTTGACCAAATGTTTTAAAATCTTTCATATGTTTGACAGTTTCCAAAAATCAAATTCTAAATGAAGTCTTTTTGACTTTGAACTAACTTTGGGATTTCCCAGAGGGCCCCTGGATCATCTCAAAATATTTATCACTATAAAAAGGGAGTTGTTAAACTAATTAGGCTTATTTGATATGTTAAATTAGATGGGAAGCACTGTCAAATAAGAAGTAATACTAAGCCTTCTTTATGTTATGTCTGTATAGGTATATGTTCTAAGTGTTTCAGAAATTGTGTGAAATTCCTGGAAGTCTGCTATGTCCTGGTATAATGTTTTCAGTCATAGTTCCAGTTATTATCTTAAAATGTTGCATCTTACAGAAACAACCAAGTTTCCTTGTCAGTTCCATTATAATGAACCCTCATCAGATCTTTACCCATGGGCATTTTAAATCTGTGTTATTTATAGAGAGTTATTGTTTTATTCAGATGCTTTTGCAAAAGTGTTCCTGCAAAAGTGCATAATCTTCAAGAAAATTCATAGAAGGACTTTTGACAAGTACAGGTTTCTGATAACCTTAAGACATAAAACTGAACTTGGTGAGGATTTCCAGAACTGATGGAAAAACTAGGTTCAAGCAGAACAATACTAATTTTTTCTTTTCTTTCTTTCTTTCTTTTTTTTTTTTGCAAGGGAAGATTCACCCTAAGCTAACATCTGTCGCCAATCCTCCTCCTTTTTTCTTCCTTCCCTCAAAAGCCCCAGTACATACTTGTGTATAGTTGTAATTTCTTCTGGTTCTTTTATATGGGCCACACCACAGCATGGCTACTGACAGATGAGTGGTGGAGTTCTACACCTGGGAAGCGAACCCAGGCCACCAAAGTGGAGCATGTCGAACTTTAACCACTAGGCGATCAGGGCTGGCTCAGAAAAATACTAATTTTGTTGTTAGTGCTGTTGAGTTGATTCTGACTCCTAGTGACCCTGTATACGGCAAAGCGGAACCCTGCCCAGTCTTTTTGCACCATCCTCTCACCATCTGGTGCTATATCAGACAATGCTCCACTGATATTTATAGCACTTTCATGGCCAATTTTTCAAGAATTGGGTGGCTGGGTCCTTCTTCTTAGTCTGTCTTAGTCTGGAAGCTCTCCCGAAACCTGTCCACCATGGGTGACCCTGCTGGTATTTGAAATACCAGTGGCATAGCTTCCAGTGGCATAGCTTTCAGCATCACAGCAACATGCAGCCACCACAGTATGACAACCAACAGATGAGTGGTGTGGTTTCCTGACCAGGAAATGAACCCAGGCTACAGCAGTGAGAGTGCTAAATCTTAACCACTACACCACCAGGGCTGGCTACATATTAATTAAATGGGACTGAATGAATTGAGGAGGATGATTATAATTTTTTATGACCTCTTAGTTGAAACATTGCTGGTTCTTTAATGTTTTGATTTTCCAAATTTGACGAAACTTTTTTTCTCTTAAACTATCTATGACTTACAACAATTTGGTAAAGTATACCTTTGTAAAAAATAGGTGAAACATTTACTTTTTTCCCTCCACATGCTCCCTCCAGAATTCAGAAACTCTTAAGAATTCTTTTCATGTCAATATAGTTAGTTGCATAAGTTCAACAAGAATCTGTTCTCCTTGTAATGGGACACAATTGGAAATATTGTCTATATTACCAAGGCTTTGACTGGATTGTCATATTTGAGAGAGATGTGCATAGACTCAGATATGACCAGAGAGTGTTAAGGAACTAAGGTTGAATTTATGGAACCAATAAAGCCCTTGGGAAAATAAACCTGGTACCTTGCTTACAAGGTTCCAGCAAAGCAATCTTTAAAAGAACTTATATGGTCAATTTTCCTGCTATACTTATATAAATAATCAAGCCAAGTTTAATACAAACAAATTAGTTTTACTGTGATCATCTTTGGTAAGAAATGGGAGTACTTGGAGAGAGAAAAACTGTGTTTGCACCTTTGTAGATATTAGATTCTAGTTCTATTAATTATCTTTGAGGTTTTGTTATATACCTTTAAACTGGACTGGATCCTGAATTCTAGTTTCCTCAAATATCTGGCTATGACTCTCCAAACTGTTTCTAGTTTTTTTCCCCCATCCTTCTGATTTGGAATCAGTAAGAACAAATTCTGCCCCTGGATGTCCTTGGAAGGGACTACACCAAGTCCTCCTCACTGAAATTCAGGACTTGAGCCTTGAGTACACATCTCACAGCTGAGGAAGGCTCCACTTGACATCTGGTCCTGTACAAATGCTGGAGACCTTCAAATCACATGGACCTGGAAGAGAAGTAGCTGACATCAAGGCAGACTGCTTCTTCCCAAGTCTCCGGATCATGACTTCGCACTTTAACTAAACTTGAAACCCTGTCTTCTTCTCTTTCCTTCCTTTACACGGACATTAGCCTGGAAAGATAATGCCATCATCTGTATCTCCAAGTCCATTGCTAAGGGGGGTAAACTCTGGAATTTAGAACAACTTTTTATTTCAGGCCAGAAGAAAACCTAACCGGACCCCTAACTTGAGCAAGCAAATGCAATGATCCTGTGAATGAACCCATGGACAGTGCCACCTTAGTGGAAGTGGTTTGTGCCCAACAAGATTAATTTTGTCTATGATAGTTACCACTTTCCTTGGGCCACTAAATGCCTAGATGGCTGGCGAAAAACCAGACAACGCCTCTTAGGTTAGCTAACTGTGCCCCAAACTGTTTACAAACCAACTGAGATGATTGGTTCTCACTGGTCAACTCCACTGAATCTACATCATCGAGTTAGAAAGGACCTACCAGGAGGCATTCATAATTTAGAACTTGCTTCCTTTGGCGGATTCCTGCTTCCCTGCTTAAGAGTAAATGTAAGTAAGGCTTTCTATAATCAGGAACCTCTCCTTACCTCTCGAAAGTATTGCAGAGTGCACTGCTAAAGCAATAGCCGCCCAAGAAAAATCCTTAGACTCCCTGGCCAAAGTTGTTCTTGATAACAGGACAGCCCTTGATTATCTTTTGGCTCAATAAGGAGGTGTCTTTGCTGTGGCCAATTCCACCTGCCGTACCTGGATCAACCCTTCTGAGGAAGCTGAAACTCAGTTACACAGGATCACTGAGCAAGCCGCTTGGCTTAAAAAGGCGACTCGACTCCTTCAACAGGGTCTCTCTTCAACTTACTTGATTTTAATTGGTTTGAGTCTTGAGGACCATGGCTCTGAAGTGCACTCCAAACATGGGAAATGAATCCTACTTATTATAATCACAATAATTTCCCTGGTACATTATATTCTCTCTAAAGCTTTAAATGTGTGTTTGCAGCTGCTAACTAACCACCAAGCAAATGATCTCCCTAAGACTGGAATGTCAGAAAAAGAACAAAGAGAATGACTAACTTAAAGATTGGTAACCTGAAGCAATAACCTGCGAAGATCACAAGCATTAAGCAAAAACATCATGACCTGTGAGCACTATGCAAAGGATCAAGAAAAGCTGCGAGAACCACAGAGTGGTAGCTGAGAGTGGCGCTAATGCCTTAATTTTTTATCACATCTCTCAGTTCGGATGAGAGTTTGATCAAAAGAGGAGAACTGTTAAAAAGAAACAACAGCCCAAAATGGAGTCCCTTGTGCTAAGCCCCACATCAGCAAACCAAGACTTACTACCCAACCTAACGGCCGTTTCAGCCGCTCCCGGGAATGTAGTCTTGACCAGTAAGCCTGGAATTTTCTGGTCAGCACCAGTGAGGTAATGTGCCACACAGACCCTTTCCATCCCACAAAGGAAAAATGAGGGGATCCCCTCTTTCCTTATCCCCTCCCCCTTCCGCCTGTAAAAGCCTTCCCTTTTGTACAGCTCCTTGGAGCTCCCTTCTATTTCTAGATGGGATGCTGCCTGGTTCGTGAATCACTGAACAAAACCAATTAGATCTTCAAACTTACTCAGTTGAATTTTTGTTATTTAACAATACAAAAGTTTATATGTAATATACTTGGTATAAAGCATACCGTAACAAACATCTGTGGGCTCACCATGCAAGAACTATAACTCTACCAATGATCTGTACGTACCTACGTGTCCCCCATCTCATGCTCCTGGCTTCGTCCTGCCACCGCAACCACAGATAACCACCATCGTACCTTTTCTAGTTCTCATTTCTTTGCTTTTTAAAAAAACATATTACCATAAATATGTGTGTGTTTAACTGTACATTGCTTAGTGTTGCTTGGTTTTTGAGCTCAATAAAAATATCGCTGTCATCTTCTGGAACTTGATTATTCCTCTCTCTCAATATTATGTTCCCAGGATACAGCTACTCTGTTACTTATAACTGAAGGTCATTCATTTTCACAGTTGCCAACTATTGCTGATGTCACCATATCTCCATTTACTTATCCATCCTCCTGTCAATGACCATTTAAGTGGGTTTTAGTTGTTTGCTATTTTGAAACTGCTGCCAAGAGCATTTTTGTACATTTCTTCTGGGTTTAACTCATAGGTGGGTTTGCTGGGTCATAGGCGTGCAAATGCTCAGATTTGAGGGATAACGTCAAATTGTTTTCAAGGTGGTCGTACGGTCTGTACCGTTTCCGATTCTGGCTTCGCTTTTATGACTTTGAATTCCCCCCCCCCCTACGCCCCCGCTCCCGCCTCCACCGCAGCCGCCCACCCGGGAAAGCGGAAGTGGAAGCGCGCACTCGCCTTTGTTTTCCTGCTTGAGCTCCTCCTGCAGCAGGTCTGTTTGCCGGTTGCCCAGCACGAAGGCGAGGAAGGAGAGGATGAGGGCGTTGAGGATGCCGATGATGGCCAGGATGTACGCCCAGCGCACCGAACAGTCCCCCAGGGAGTACTTCCCGGTCTTGGCCCCGCACATGTCCCGGATCGTCTCGGCGTCCCAGCCATCGGGGAAGATCATGCAGCCCAGCACGAGGCACAGAGCTGAGGGGGCGCGAGGCCGGGCCCGCGCCACGAACAGGAAGGAAAAGAGAAGGGGATGGTTACTCCCCGGAGCCTGGGGACCACCAGAAGCCCTCCTCAGGCCGGGCGCCGCACTCCCACTCCGCCCATGAACCCAAGAGCCCGTTAACCACTTCCTGTGGGCTCCAGAAACTCTAGGATTGGGGATGGCCTCCGGCCTCGGGGACCAGAAACTATTCCGAACCCACAACGCCCTCTCTTGCCCCATCAAGTCAACTCCTTCTCCAGGAAGCCTTCCTGGAAATACGAGGAAATTACAAACCACAGTCACCTCCTTCAGCATCTTGGCCCTGCTTACTCTCTCCCATCCTCGTCCTTCTTTTTTATTTTTGTAATTCATTCAACAAATACTTATTGGGCGCCATTGTCCTTTCATTTCAAGATGCTGGGGATACGTTCTCATTCAAACGGGTGAGCCCTGCGCTCAGAGAACAGACTGATGGGTTTGAGGCTCGTTCTTCCACTTCCGCAGTGTATGACTTTGGGGACGCCGCCTGTTTGTGTCTGTGTGGAATCCTAGTACTTACCTCACAGGGGGTTTGTGACGGTTAAATGAAGTACTGCTTGTAAGACACTTAGCACAGTGCCAGGCATTCTCTCACCCAAGCAGTGTCTATTGAGGGCCTACTGTGTGCTGGGCACTAGACTAGGCTGGGGGCCGGGGTACCTGCACTCGAGCCTCTTGGAGCTTGCAGTGCAGTGGGGAGCGTTCCATTAGAGCGCAGTTGCTCAGAGGGCTGGGGCTCCAACCCTGGCTCAGCTATTTTCTAGATGTGTGACCTAGAGCCAGTTCCTTCACCTTTGAGCCTCAGTTTCCTCATCTGTGAAATGGGGATGATGATGGTATTCAAGTGATCGTGAAGATTACAGGAGGCAGCAAATGTAAAGTGCTTGGCTCAGTAAGTCCCAGATAAATGTTAGCTGTTATTATCAAAACTAGTCATAATGATAAAAATAATTACACAAATAAGGAAATAGTTGGCGGAGAGGCTTGGTTTCAGATGGGAGAAGGGATGATGCCAAGAAGAGCCTTCCAATGGAAATGGGCCCCCGCTGGTTCCCTCCTTTGCACCCACTCCCTCTGGGTTTAGTGACCTGCCTCTGCCAATCCCAGCCCAGCGGTCTGGCTGGGTCTGGCTGGGCTCTTCCCGGAGCTTAGTCTAGTAGGTGGGACCCAAGTCTAAGCCAATCAGCATATTCTCATTCCTCTGGTGACTGATTGGCTCAGGGAGAGGCACATGCCCCATGCAGCCAATCAGAGCCAACAGGGCTCCGTAGGTGACTGGGGCTGTGACCTTCCCCTTGCCTGCAGTGGGGCAGCTGCGTGACTTGTGAGTGCGTCTGCGGCTTGACGTTGCCCTCTTAGTGTCTGACGGTCCCGCCAGCGACTGGGCTACTGTGTCTGAGACCCGAAGGTTCCTCACCAGGCCCATGGGGTGCTTAACCTGGGTTTTAGATGACAGTGATGACAAAGTGGGGATGGTGGTCAGTTCTGCCCACTGTCCACGAGGCCCTAGGGTAGGGAGGGGGCCCTCGGCTTTGCCAGCTCCCTCCCTCATCTACCGTGCGAGGAAGTGCTCCCTTGGCCCCTAATTTCCGCCTGGCAGCGCGATGGGGCCGCTCCCATCCACCCTCCCTCCCTAGCGTTTGACCTCCTCCGGCCTCTCGGCCCTCCTGTAGTGGTCAGTGCCCCCACTCCCCCAGGTTGTGCTCCTCATCCCGAAGCAGGGCGCCCTCCTCTCTCCAATGCTCGCCTCCCCCAAGACGGCTCTCAGCTCCAGTGGAACACACGGCTGCTAAGGGCTGGGAAAAGAGCCCCTCCAAAGGAAATGGCAAATGCAAAAAGCCTTGAGGCAAGAATGAACTTGATGAGTTACGGGATTCAAAAGTTCGAAGATGCCCGTTAGACACCCCGGTGGTCAGGGGAGCTCAGGGGGAAATTAGGGCTGGAGATGTAAATTTGTGAGCTGTGGGCATGTAAAGCTCTGGGACCGGACGTTATGGAAACTGAAGAGAAGGCGCAGGACTGAGCCCTGCAGCGCTCCAGCATTTATTTACAGGGTGGGAAGAGAAGAGGAGCTTACGGAGAAAGCTGGACCCATCCATGTCCCCATACATCCCTGACACTTGGCAAGACTCTCCAGGCCCCTATCAGAGAGGGCAGGAGAGTCAAATGCCAGGGATGGAGGAACGGGAGAGGAGTGGACTCAGCACAGCCCTTCACCCACCCCTAGGGAGCCCCGGGGCCCTTCCCCCAGCTGGTGTGCTCCCACCTCCCCATCCCTGGGGCTCTGAATCCCCAGCAAGAGGCAGGGGTGAAGAAAGATCCCAGGGCAAACCCACCCACTCTCTCGCCCTCCCCTCCCTGGTGCAGTGTTTCCTCTCTCGCCCGCCCGGAGCATCCTCGTCTCCATGGAAACCGCGCCAGTATCCAGAGTTCCCTGCAGCGGCGGCGGGGCTCAGGCTCCTGCTGGTGGTCCTCTCCCCTCCCGCAGCCCCGCAACCCTGCAACCCCGCAACCCAGTACTGGGCCTTCAGTAAGGTTTCTTCCCCGCCTCTGTGCCTGCATTTTCTCTGTCTCTGTCTCTCTGCCTCAACACTTACGTGTGTGTGTCTCTAGTCGTGTGTCTCCATTCTTTTCTCTTCTCCACCCTTTTCATTTTTCTTTGCACGTCTCTGCACATCCCTCCCCCCTCTCTCAGGCTAGTCTATATCGTGCTCAAGTCAGTCTCGACCCTCCCTCTTCCCTTTTCTATTTAGATCTCTCAGCATTTGACAGTCATTCAACATCCCTCCTCTTCTCTCCTTTTCTCCTTCTCTGTACCTATTCCCTCGCCCTTTCCTCTCTTTGGCTCTCCCTTCATACATTCCACAAATAAATTCTGAGTGCCTATTATGTGCCAGGCACTGTGCAGGGTGCTGGGGACACTGCCAGGCATGGTTTCTGTGCTCAGGAGCAGAGGTGTATGAGGAGGAATAGAATCAAGTCGACACACAAATAGAGTAGTCCTACATGTCAAGGAGTGCTTGGAGGAAGCAGACTAGGGGCTGAGACCCAGAATAACATGGATGCTCGGGGAAGGCCGGGGCTGGAGCCTCTGTCTCCATCTCTCGCTCACTCTCTGCCTCTTTTGCTCTGCAGTGTTTTAGGTGGTGACTACGGGGCTCCAGAGGCTGCTGTGGGAATGAGAAACATCCAGAAGTCAGGCAAATGGAGAAAAACCAATCTGAAGGGTTTTCCTCCATCTGGGGGGAGAAAGGAAGAGACCACTAGGGACAGCCTAGGCCAGGGAAGTGACCAAGAGGCTCAAGCATCAGGAGATGGAATGACAAACAGGCAAGGCGGGCTTCAGCATCCCTCGTTGCTGGATGAGGAAACTGAGGCTGAGGTCTTTAGAGTCCAAATTCACGTCTCTTTTGGCAATAATGAGCTGGCTGAAGAGCCAGCTACCCTGAGACACAGACACATGTGCAGGGTGCAGTGTGGGGTAGGTTTCTGAACCACAGCATTTTTGACTCTCAGCCTGGTAATTCTTCATGGCGGGGGAGGGGGGGGGGTGGGTGGGGAAGTGGGGCGGGAGGGGGACCATCCTGTGCAATGTGGGATGTTTAGCATCATCCCTGGCCTCCACCCACCAGATGCCAGTGGCACCACCACCCCCAGTCGTAATAATAGCAATGTCTCCAGACATCACCAAATGGCCCCTGAGGGGCAAAATCGTCCCTGGTTGAGACCACTAGTATAGAGGAAGGGGCCCCAGGATGGGGCATCTCTACCCAATTACCCTACCGGCCACTGACTTTCCCTGCTCCAAGCAGCCAAGAGATGTTGTGACAAAATTAAGAGTAATAATACTGACATTATTAATAATGTGATAATAATTTTAACAAACAGTATTGAGTGCTTAACTATGTGCCAGGTGCTAAGATCCTGACATTCATGATCTCACTTAATCCTTTAACAAATCTATGAGGTGGGAAAAGTGAGCCTCCTCATTATATAGATGAGGAAGCAGAGGCTCGGGGCACCAAGTGTCGGAGCCAGTGTCACCCAGTTAGTAAGCAGTGGGATCTATACTGAAACCTCAACTTGTCTTTACTTAATGTTTTTCTCTGAATAGACTCATTTTTTAACTTAGAGGCATTTACTTAAAAAGTAAGCTGTACATCACTAACAAAGAAAAGGAAACCAGGATCATTTGCCATAAATAGAAGGAAGCTATAAATATAAGTATAATGAAACCAAAACAATGTTCTTAGCTTCTAGCTAGATACTTTTGCCTGCCAAATGCGCGGAGCCCGAGGGCTGCTCCCTCCTTGTTTAAAAGACATATTAGTAAGTGTGAGAGGAGGTAAAGACACACCAGCACCAATCTGAGACTTTCTCCTTGAACTTATGAGTCACTGCCCACCTTTATCGCCTCCACAGGAGGCTCAGCTCCCTTCTTTACTCTACAACTTCAGGCAAAGTCAGTTTGCCTCTCTGGGCCTCAGTTTCTTCATCTGTAAAACAGGTCCATGACATCTGCCCTACTCATTTCATAAAGCATTTGTGAGAAGCCAATGAGAAGAGGTGTGGCAAATTATTAAGGGTGAAGTGGGGGCAGGTCATGGCAACTCTTGGCAGAGTAGAAAAAAATCCTGGACAAAAGAGACAAGGCTTTTTCCAGATATTTAAGAAGTGTTAACAGTGATGGCCTGGGAAAGATAATAAGCTTAATTTTTACATATAACCATGACAGAAACCAAGAGTTTACTACAATAGTTGCTCATCCTTTCTTCTTCACAATTAGAACCCCCAATTTTTAGCTGAGAACTTGCCTGTTGAAAATAAAGACTGCATTTTCCAGTCTCGCTTGCAGGTAGATGACTTGACCACATGACTAAGTGAAAATGCATGCAAATGTGTCACATGTCTTCAAGGAAACAAGTTTATATAAACAGATCCCTAAGGATGCTAG